CCTTCCCGGTCGATGGCTCACCCTACCAGGCCCCCACCCTCCGCTCCACCCAGAGCGGGCAGTCTGGAGGGCTGCTGGGCATGCGTGGGCCAGGAGCAGGGTGCTCACCTCTGACTGCCAGCCCCCACCCACCCCGAGCAAGGGGCTGGTCTAGGTTTCCAGGGAGGCCCCCCGCCCCAGTCCCCTCTCACACGGAGCCCATGCCAAGGAGCAGCATCAGCTGGACTCTTCAGGATGTTTTCAGTCACTGGTTCCCAAGAGGGCTTAGCCACAGGCAGCAGGGGAGCTAAAAGGCTGTTTACAAAAATGCTCGTTTTACGCATCCAGGGTTCACAGCCTGCAGTACAAGTCACTCCCTCCTGTGTCGCCAGGCTGCCCCCAGACAACAGTGCAGCTGAGCAGGGGCTGGGGCTCAGGAAGTTGGGGTGCAGCCCAGTCTCACCCCGGCGCCCCAAGCCACTCTGTGGAAGGAACATTGCCTCATGCACTTTCCGCTCCCTCAGCGTTCGATGGAGAACCAAAGAAGGTCAAGACCAAGGGGACGGATTCTTCAGGTCAGGGGCGGTGCGGGCAGGTAGCACCCCAGGGTCCTCTAGAATCCGGGGAGGGTCTTTCCTATCCAAACCAGCACCCCAGCAACGAGGAGCTAGACATGTGTGTACTGTGGTAAGACATATAGAACCTAAGCCTTCCCGCCCGAACCACTTCTCCGCGTTCAGCCCCGTGGCACGGAGCACGTTCACGCGGTTGTGCAACCATTGCCACCATCCTCCCTGGAACACGTCCATCCTCCCAAACTGGAACTCCAGAGCGACGTTTTGAAAAGTCTCTCATTCCGCAGATTTTAATGGAAACCCCATATGGTTTCTGGAGGGGAACAAAGATATGCCGGGTCTAAAGGGACTCATCCTGGTGGAGCAATGGCAGAGACAGGAGGCCCTCAGCCGAGACTGTGGTGAGTCCCTAAGGACACAGGGGACAGCTGGGTCACATGCAGGGGGCGGAGGAATGCGCCAACGGGACACCCCTGGGCCAGCCCCCTGCAGGCAGGGAACATCTGCGTCTTCAAAGGGAAAGTTTTTTTCCTGGGGTCTGACTGGGCCTGTGGAACAGCGGCTGCTCTGAGAAAGTCCCGGCCTCCCAAACCGCGGCGTGGGGACAGAGGTATGTGAAGCATGTGTGACTCTCCTCAGAGGGCACCCCGGCCCCCGGTCTACCAACCCCCTGGACCTACTTCAGACAAATTACAAGCCTGCCCACAAGCACTTTGGTGGGAATCTTGTGTTCCCTCTTCCATACAGAAAGCAGATTTACTGACAGATTAGGGAGCAGGGGGCGGTGAAGGGAGGTCACCCAGGAGCACAAGCCTTTCGGTGAAGCATTAAATCACCCGTTAATGAGGTGCCGATATTCCTCAGCCCTGGGGAGAGGGGACAAGTTCAAGAGAAACCTCCGGAAGGCCTGGAGGGGCTGCTAGGCTGCTAGGCCTGGCTCCAGCACACCCCCACCCCCGGCCCCCGCCAGGCTTCTGGAGAACGTGACCTTCCTCAATCAGCAGTTCTCATGTAATCCCTAGGAGGGGGTGCTGTGGCTTTCCCCACTGTACAGCAGGGGAAACTGAGGCATGGAGCAGTGACCTGTCTGAGGTCACATCAGAGGGAGTACTGGGTTTTAGTGCTCCCACTCGATACAGTTGCTTCTCCCTGTGTCCCAACATACTGGGTGACTTTGCGCACATGGGTTACTACCAAGGACCCGCATTCATACGGCACCTTCTCATGGGTTACTTGCTTGGTTTTTACAACTGTATACAGTTGGAACAACAGATAGGTTTGCACTCACTTCACAGAGCAGGACACTGAGGCCTGAGGCTGTTTGGTTTGTGTTAGGGGCTGAAATGTATGCCTCCTCAAATTCCTGTGTCCTAACCCTCAGAACCCCAGAATGTGACTATTTAGAGACAGCATCTTTAAAGGTGCAATTAAGTTAAAATGAGGTAGTTCAGGTGGACCCCAATCCAAAGTGACTGGCGTCCCCATACACAGACGCACGGGGAAGTGGCTGTCCTCAAGCCAGGGAGAGAGGCCTCCGGAGAAACCCTCCCCGCGGCACCTTGACCTTGGACTTCCAGCCTCCAGAGGGTTAGAAGCCCCCAGTGGTGGTATTGGTTATGCAGCCCGTCTGCCCATGCAGCTTTGCTCCGAGTTCACAGCGTGGGTGCAGAGGGCCGGTTCTTGCTTCTCCCCACATGCCCCGCTCCAGGGTAAGGGTCCCTGCTTCCCTTCCTGCCCGGTCACAGGGAGTGTGGATGAGTGCTGGGGATGGTGCTTTGAGTGTGTGGTTGCTACTGGGTGGAGTGACGCTTACCTTAACGACGGTAAAATCCACCTCAACCCACAAATGTGTGGAGCAGTGTAGTAGGCTGGTTGGGAGCAGAGAGCTCAGCCAGATCCGGGTTTGAATCCTGTGTGTGACCTCAGGCAAGTTGCTTAAACTGTCTCATTTGCAGGGGTGATGATAGGAGTATTATAATCTCGGGATTAGTGTACATAATAAGTAACCTTACAGAGCTCGATAAATGCTCAGTGGTCATCATCACCGTTAGCAGGTAAAAGGGTGTGGGACGCTAGAGGCTTGGGGTCAGTCCAGACCTGGGTGGAGGGTTGAGGGGCCAGCTGAGCAGGGACAGGGTCCTAGCCTTGGGCAGGGCCCACACAAGCAGAGACCAGCGTGGCTGTCTTCACACAGAAAGTCCCACCTCCTGGAACAAACTGGCAGAGAAATGAAAAAACAAGAGCATGATTTCCTACAGAGGCTCTTCCCAACTCAGACACGTTGACGGTGTATTTAAAAGTTGTTTCAATCCGGGCTTAGAGATGTGAACTGGTTTGCTGTCGGTTTGTGGTGGTTTCTTCAAGTTCATGATCTGAGCCTTCCCAGGAGGGAGGGTCTGGATGGAGAGGGTCTGCAGCTGGCAGCCCTCAGTCCCACAGTGCCAGGGGCTTCCGTGGTTCCACTCTCTGGGCTGCAGGGAGTGGACTGGGGCATTTGCGGTGCAGGGCGCACCCCTCACGGACCCCATGTACAAATGGTGGAATGGCAGTCCCCTCCCCGTCCTGGGCAGGTGGATGGTTGCCCAGTGGTGTAACCTCTGCTTAGAGGGGTCCCCCAGCAGACTTGTGGGTCCCCTGTGCCTTTGCCCCCCAGATCTTGGCAGGCATTGCCCAGGGTGAGGTGTGAGAGTTCCTGATGACTCAGCGTTTCCACTTCCGTCTCGTGGAGGACGCTGGGCGTAGGGGCAGAACCTAGGACACAGGGCGACTGCACCCTCACAGTCTACCAGGACGGCCAGCCCAGTGTTCCTCACTCAGAACCCTCAGCAGAACCCAACCCCAGAGCCTTCTGGCTTTCTTTCACGGACCCTGTTTCCCTCCCTAAACTCCAGCTTCCACCCCTACCACCCCCAGCCTGTCCACAGCTCAATTCCAGTTTACAAATTAATCCCAGGGTTCAAGTACTTTCCCATAGGGGTCCTGAGGGAGTGGCTGGCCTGAAGGGGCCCTTCCCAGTGGGGACTCCTTGCCCCTCCTGGGAAAAGAACACGTAAGATGTGTGGTGAGGAGGTGGTGGGAGCCTGCGTGGCCAGTCAAGAGGCAAACTGTGGGGGGCAGGGGACCCCGGGATCACAGAGTGTGGGGGTTTGGAAAGCGGGGCCACGAGCTTGAGCCAATGGTCAGAACTCTTGGGGACAATTCATGCTGCTGCAGTCCCCGATCCCTCTTCCAGCCAGGTCCCGGTGCTGTGGGGAATAGACAGCCATCTTTGGGGTCCCCACCTCCACGAGGGGCCCAGCCCACGGGAGAGGATCTACGTGGAAGGAGCATCTCCATCCCCATCTGAACAGCCGGGGTCAGCCCAGGCTGCTCCATGGTTCAGGATTCTGGTGGCGGGGGGGCCTGCAGGCAGGGGGAAGGAGTTACCTGGGCCACTTCTAGCGTCCAGCAGGTTCTCATCCTCTCACGGGGGAGGGGAGGCCGGACACTGACGTGTGGGCGGGGAGGTGTCTCGAGCGAGGACCCTCTTATCCCCGGAAACCCCACCACCTTCCAGGACGGGCTCCTCCCCGCCCCCCCCCTCGGGCAGTGCCCCCTCCATTGAGCCCACCCCCAACAGGGTGGACCCGGTGTCCTGGAAAGGGCCCAGGCCACAAAGAAGTTCCATGGATTCCCCCAGGGGGGAGAAGGGAGCCACGCCCCTGGGTCTTCCCCACCTCATGAGTAGGCTGGGGGCTGGAGAGACGCCCTACACTCCCTTCAGCCCCCTGAAGGCTCCTTCCAAGTCTCCTCCTCCATTCCCTCCGAGTCCATGTGTTCGAGCATCTTCCAAGCCCCCAGCACGGGGTATAAGGGGCAATGTGTCCCTCGGGTCCAGCCCATCCTTTCAGGGGGGCCTTCCTGGTAAACCCCAAGGCCAAGATCAGCCGGAGAGCCAGACTCATGAACCCTGGGTCAGGCTCTTGGCTGCGGAGCAGACCACATGGCCTGGCAGCCCCAAGTTGCTGAGTCAGGGAGAGGCACAGCCAGGAGGGAGCGGTGGAGGCGGCCTCAGCAGCAGACCCCCCTGGGGCCTCCCCCCACCGCCAGCACTTCTTTCCCCTTCGCCCTAACTGCCTAACTGGTCCGGGGCTCCGGGCCAGAGGAAGCGCCTGGGCCCTACCCTGGCTCCACCGGAAGCTTGCTCTGGGACCAGAAGCTGCCCTTCCCCATTCAGGGCATGGGCTTTTCACGAGTAAAGGGAAAGGGTTCGACTCTGTAACCTTTAGATCCCTTCCAGCTCTCGTGTTCCCCCGTGGGTGGCTCACAGCGCCCCCCACCGCCCTTCCCGGTCCCCCCAGCTCCCTGCCCCAAGTTCTGGCAGCCTCCTGCCCAGGGCCTGGGGTGCCCCACCAGCTGCCCCGTGTCAGGGAGGGGCAGGGAAATCACTCAGGCCAGCTCAGCTCTCCATTTCTCTGATTTTTATTCCCTAGGGTCTGAGGCCTAGGGTGGGGGGCGGAAGGGGCTGCCCCCGACCCCCAGGCATGCCCGGGTCCTGGCAGGCTAGAAGTAGTTGACCACTCTGCGGAGCGACTGGATGCGCGCGTTGTGGGCCTCCCAGTCGGAGCAGTTGCGGAAGTCACCCCGCTCCACCAGGTACATGCGGCCGCGGTAGTTGGGCTCCTCGTACAGGACCCACCTGGGGTCAGAGGGAGGCCAGGTGAGAGAAGACCTCCCAACACCAACAGCCCGCCCCCTCTCCTGGCCCAGCTGGGCTCTGGAGCCTGAACTGGGGGGTAGAGGTGTGGGGGGAGAGCGGCCCACAGCTGCCCCTGACTTGTCCCACCAGCCTTTTCTCAGGCCGGCCTCTCTCCTCACTTCTGATGCTCCCTTTCCCCTCACAATGGAGAGAAAACAGCTTTTTCACCATGGGAAGCAAAGCGGGGCTACATGCCCGGATCTGGCTGCTGGGGTCCCTCCGGGCCCAGGCCATGGGGTGTTCTGACTCTGGCTTTGCAGTGAACCCCCACTGTGACCCTAACAGTTCTGGCCCTCCCATCCCAAGGGCTCTGCTGTCGAAGGAACTTTCTCCCCGCTGAGACATAGACTCTGAAATTATGAGCCCATCCAGCCCAAGGCCACACAGCCCACTGAGTCGCCTGCTTAGGGCAGCTTCCCCAGCACTCCCCTCTCCTGTCACCGTGGGCCCCCTTCTCCATCCTGACTCCGCATCTGGTGCCTGGTGCGGTCTGCACAAGGGTCAGGGGTCAGGAATGCTGAGAGAGGCCCGGCGCGTGAGCTGCAGGGTTGCTCAGGGCCGACCTGGTTTATCCCGGGCATCCCACAACCCCAGCCTCCCTGCGCCCTGACCTCCACCGTGCCCGAACTGGCCCCTGCCCTGCCCCCAACCTCCCCACACCCATGGGCTGGGCCTCCTCAGTGAACCTCCCCTCCGGGGCTGTGACTCTGGGAGGAGGAAGGGAGGAGGGGGCATGGCCCATCCACAGGAGCGCAGGCACGGTGCCCTTGGGGGGCAGGAAGTAAGGAGAATGATGTGGCACATTTCCCTCCAAATGCCCTCTGGGACATGGGTCTGTGGGGACGGGTCAATCCTGGGCTGACTCGGGAACCCGCGCAAAGAAACTCCTGGTATGTGGGAGGCGGTAGGAAGCCCTGCCTGGAGGCCCCCATCGGGCCCCCGGAAAGGCCCTGAAGGAGGTCACAACCAGACCACGTGATCCAGGCCATCACCTTTGGGCAGCTTCTCCTTACTTTTTTCTTTCTTTTTCTTAACTAGTTAAAGTCACAGGAGGCCAAAGGTGAGTGCTCCGTGGGGAGGAGAGCAGAGCCCTGGGTCCGAATGGGGGGTTGGCCACACACACCCGCTGAGTCTCCATCTCCTCTTGGGTAAATCGAGGCCTACGGGAGACCCCGTACCCCCTGTGGTCGAAACTCTTAGCTCCTACCTTCCCACTGTTTTTCTCAAGAGGCCCCGGGGGTCCCCCAGGGTGGGTGTAGGGGTGGCAGCGAGAGTCTCAGGACACCTTCCATGCAAAGGCGTGACTTCGGCCTCCTGAGACACAATTTGACCAGCAGTTTTCCAAGCAGATTGTGTTCTGGAATTTGATCCCTCAGATCCCCGGATACCATCAACTTAGGGCAAATGGGGTTTCCGAGAGGCAGAGAAAGGCAGACGTGACAAGATGAATCCTGATTGAACCAGAGTGACAGAGATAGCAGGAATGGAGCAGAGTTGCCCTGGGACGCTGGGTCAGGGGGCCCCGAGGGAAGGTGGGGGGGTGCAGTTCTTCCTCTGGCTCAGCCACTATCTTCATTCAGTCTCTCCCGTGACCACTGTCTTGAACCTCTTGAGGTGTTCCCTGATCCCAAGCCTCAGACACACAGACAGCAGCTGGATCCCTTAGCTGCTGTGACAGGAGCCATGTTCCCAGAGCCCGAGTGGGGCTCTTCTGCAGACAGGATGGGGCTGAGGTCTCGGGAGGCTCTCTGCTCTAGACCAGGGACACTGACTTGAAGCCAAACGCCTGGCTGCCATCCCAGCTGCGCCACTCACAAGCTGGGGGCAAGGTCACTTTCTCAGCCTCAGCTAACTCCTCTGTAAAAGGAGGTAACGCTATCCACTGGCTTGGTGGATGGGAGACGGGAGATGGCCACCATGAAGATATGGTGGCTGAGCCTGATAGGTATACAGGCTGCCTATGGCTGATGGAAGGAACCAAGTGTGCAGGGGCCAACAGAAGCCAGGCTAGCCCGGGGTTCTGACGACTCTCTTGCAGGAGAGCAAACAAGCCCCACTATGCCTGGGCAAAACCCCCTGGCCACAGCCTGTCCACCAGAAGTGAGCCACCATGACGTCAATCCCCCTGGGAGGCCTTCGTGCTGGGGGTCTGCCTGCTTGGCAGGAGAGGTCCAATTCAAGGGTCCATTTTGCTGGGTAAGTAAGGGGTGTGCAGGGTGGGCAGGGCTACCCCTCTCCGAGCAGGGTTCCCCTGGCTCGAGTAGACCAGAGGACAGTCCATGAGATCAGTCCAATCATAGAGAACCATTAGTTTGCCAAGTACCTCCCTACCTCTGCTCCTACTGTGGCCCCATGTGTCCTCCCGAGGCCTTCTTGAGCCATGGAGGAAGCCACCTCCTTTGCTCCACTGGGGTAGAGGAGGCAGCTGAGGGAGGGAATGGGCCTCCAGGGCAAGGGCCAGGCTGCCCCCCCTGCTGGGGTCTGACCCACCCTGCAGCCCCCCCACACTGGGCTTGTGCACGGCCCAGCTGGGCTGTGGTCCGCGGCCTTGCGGCCTTGTGGCCTGTACTCACGCTCCGTCCCCGTACACCTTGATGGCGTTGACGCAGTTCTTGGACCAGCCCTGACTCTGCAGGAAGGGGCAGTCTTCCCGGAACTCCAGGCACTGGCCGGTGAAGTTGCAGCCCTCAAAGATTTCCAGGCGGAAATTCTCCCCGTGCTGCGGGCCCCATGGGAGCGGAGGAAAGATGGCAAACGGCACTGAGTTTCCCTCCCCTACACAGAAGCCCGTGTGGCCAGGAACTCAGAGTTGCCCAGGGCTCTGGGCACCCAAGAGCTCCTGCGCTGGGGGGCCAGTGAGGGCCCGCCACCCCAGCACAAGCATCAGCACGGCACACTGCGTTTTCCGGCACCTTGAGATCTGGTTGGACGAAAGGGCTCTATCACTTTAAAAAAGCTTCCAAGCCCCTGAACCAGTCCACTCTCCTCTTTCTTCAACTCAAGAATCCAAGGGTTAGAGAGGGCCAGACCACCTGGGAGACTTTGGTCATGCTCTGACCAGGGCCTGGGCCACTGGGCTCCCTTCTAGCGCCTGGACTGGGGGACCCCTGCCCAGCCACCCCAATGCATTCCTCTGCCCGTCATCCCCACCCTGGGGCCGCAGGCCAGGGGCAAGCCTTTAAATGATAATATTTTACAAACTGTAATAGAACCTTTTATTAAAACAGGAAGCCAAAAATCTAAAACAAATAACAGAGATCTCATTTGCTGAAATCCCTGCTGGCTCACTGGGATGACAGTATATAGCCCCTTCTAAGATTCCTTGCATTTCCAAAGACAGAGGAGGGCCAGCTCCCAACTGGCTCTGGGGCCGGCAGGGGCTGGGTCTGCATCACAGCTGGCCCTAAGGATAGCTCTTAGGAGAACAGCATTCAAAAAATACCTAGGAGAGTTTTCATATAAATAGCATTGTGCAAGATCCAGAGCCAGCCATGTTAATTCCTTTTTCCAAATGTCTACGGCCTGGTGGAAATACTAAGAAAGCATTCTTACAATTTGAGATGCCAAAGCCCAGCTGGTTTTGTAACTCGTGTAGAAAAGAGAGAGCCCCCCCCCACACACACACACGAGGCTCCCTCCCTGGGGTTCCTCAGATGTTCACTAGCACCGCCTGGCCCCCATGTCCAGGGAAAGATCCTTCCACAGACACACGGCTGAGACTCCGGTGAGAATCTGGTTCAGGAATCAGCCATTTCCCACCTGACCATGTGGACCTCCCAGCAGCTCAGCTGGCACGTGTAACTTGGGAGAATCCAAAGGAATAGGAATGCTCGGTCCTCAAACCAGCCCCTCCCTGTAAGGGCAACTAGACATGAACCGTCCTTCACCCTGGGTAGCGACATCCCTCATATGCTCTCCCGACACACATCGGGCCACTTGTGTGGCTCCAGGAGACCTGCCCCCAAATTCCCAAGGACTGGCTAGTGACTTAGGCCTCCTCCTTCAGTCATTCCATGGTCAGAGCATCGAAAGTCTCTTGAAAAGCACTCTAAGATGACCTGCATGGGTGGATACCCTGGGCCCAAATCAGCCTGGCTTTAGCTAAATTCTCCCCCATCTGGTTGCAAATCCAAACTTCTATTATTTCCAACAGCATTTTAAGTGGAAAATGCAGCAAGATGTTGGGATCGGACATTGGAGGTGGTTGCTTGATACATGCCGTTAAATGTAGGTATAAAAACTTGCAGGGGCTCTCGGGTTCTGTCCCATGCCATCCCACACACAGGGGAGTGGCGGGTCTGCATGGGGTCATCTCTCCCTCTTAAACATCCCATGGCCTCGTCAGATCTTAAAGTTGGGATGGCCATGCTCCCAGATTATTTGTCCCATGTCTGAGCAGCACCGACCCTCGGTCCCTCTGGCAGGAAGCCCCCAGCCAGAGGCCCACTTACCATTCCTATGGGGCGGCAGGAGCCCATGTGGTCATTGTGACCATTCCAGCGGAGGAAGTCGGGGTAGTCTCCATGCTCCAGGATAAATTGCTGACCCCGGAAGTCGGGGTGATCGAAGCAGACCCAGGCGCCGCTTTCCACACGGATGGAGTTCACCCGATTCATAAAGCCTCGGTCCTGGAAATTGTCACAGTCCCCGTAGACCTCCAGCTTCCTTCCGGTGAAGTGCTTGCCCTCATAGAGGATGATCTAGAAAGGTCAGGTTAGAGGACTCGGGGTCAGGGGCTTCTCTTCTTTCAGTTTTGGGAGCAGACACCTGGCGTCCAACACCCTCGACTGAACCCTGATTCCCAGGCCCGCTGTGCACAGTAGGTGCTCAACACCATTAGCTAGGTGAAAGACCGCATGGATGGTGGGCTGAGGTCAGACCCAGGGCCTGGCCCTCCCCACCCTGGGGGGCTCACAGTTGAGCAGACAAATTTCAGAAGATATCTGGGGACAGGGAGTCCCCCTAGTCCTTGGGCCCATTTGAAAACAGGCTCTTTTCAAACTCCCATTGCATTTTTTAAAAAGATTTTATTTATTTGAGAGAGAGAGAGAGAAAGCATGGGCAGGGAGAGGGGCAGAGGGAGAAGCAGGCTCCCAGCTGAGCAGAGAGCCTGATGCGGGGCTCGATCCCAGAACCCTGGGATCATGACCTGAGCCGAAGGCGGTCGCTTAACCGACTGAGCCACCGGGGCACCGTCCCACTACATTTTTAAAACTCAGTTTTTGTTCATTGTTAAATCATAACATCCAAGGAAGTGTTTTTAGAAGAAAGCATTTCACCCACAACCCCACCATCATAACCAAACATTGAATTACCAGAAAGTCAGGTTCCTGGGACTGGGCCCCTTAGCGGGAGAGGCTAAATGCAACAGAGCCAAGTCAGGGCCTGGTGTGGGGATTAATGGCTAAAAAGGGGGCTTTTTCAATGTAACTCATCCCTTTGTTTACTGAGCCACCCCTTTGGGTGACAGGCATGTGTCAGACCTGGAACACTGCCAAATCAGTGGTCAGTTCACAGCATCCTATGGCAATGTAACACTGACAGGTTCTCCTCGTCCCTAAACTACACAACACTATCGGCCCCAAAGTTCATTTTCTGCCACGGAGCGTGAAATTCCAACCACGCAATAACTCTTTGGGTTTCTAGAATTGTGCTCCTAGAAAGGCCCTGGCAAAGTACAAATAATGGTGCCCGGAGGGCTTGTAACTGCTGTAATCACTTGCCCTGTCACCAATGACTACCCTTCTGGGCCCCCTGGGCAGAAGCTATGAGAGCCAGGGTGTGACTTCTCAGCTCTCCAGGTCCCTCTGGGGCCTGGGGGAAGGTGTGCAGGGGCATGATGGGCTCTTGGGATTGTTTGTTATTGAAACATAACCAAACCTGTGCAGACTGAGTAATGTTCTCATCCTCTAACCTTGACCGTAGCCCCTGGAGACCAAAGGCTGCACCTCATTAGCTAGGGGAGCGAGCAGAAAATGGGTGGGGGAGATGCGAATTTGCCACCTTCCCGCACAAGACAGGTCTGGTCGATGGCGCAGAGAGATTCAGGGGGATCCGGTCGCCCACCGGATTCCAAGATCTCTCAAACCGCCCCCAGGGCCAGTGCTGGAGGCCGTGGGAGACGGGGACCGTCCCGCCTCCCACACCAGAGAGGCCCTCTGCTGGGGCCAGGCCGCCCAGTTTGCGTAGCAAATTTTGTCAGTTTTGCTCAGGTTTCTGGGATGCTTTGGGCGCCTCAAGTAACAGCTTGGCCCCTGCCTCCCGAGGACGAGGAGCAGCGGAAGGCGGCGGGTGTCGGGCCGCGCGCGGGCGGCGTCCGTTACCGTCGGGCCGGGCCGGGAGGGGCCCCACTCACCTTTCCCGAGCGCTGCGCCATGGTGTGCCCGCCCCGCCCGCGGCCGGCCCCTATATAGCCGGCCGCAGCCCTGCTGGCTCAGCGCCGCCCGGGACAAAAGATTTGCTGGCCGGCGCGTTAGTGCTGGTCCGGCGCCCTAAGCCCGCAAGGGGCCACCCCGCCCCGTCCTTGGGACCGAACTCCACTCCCCCGCCACCGCCATCCCCACACCCCCGGCGCCGCCAGCCCCGCCACGCGCGCCCCGCCCCCTGCCCGGGCTCCGTCGGGTGCCTGCGGGGTCACGGCGGCCCCGCGAACCCCCAGCCAGCCCCACCGCCTCCTCTGTCTCTGACCCCCGGCCGCCCGCCGCCCCTGCTGAGTCAGGGGCACACACGTGCACACACGTGCGCGCACACACGCACACGCCGGGCCCCACCGCTTCCCCTCTGCCTTGGGGTTCTCCGGCAGTGCCGCCCCTCCCCCTTCCCTCCTTGGGCACCAAGCCTTCCCGGACCTCCCGGCCCCTCCCTTTCTCACCTGGTCACCCGCGCTCAAGCTGTGACCGAGGTTTCTCTCTGGACCAAGGATGGAACCCAGCTCCTGGGAGCAAAGAAGACAGCCCTTGACTGCCCCCCCCCACCCCCCAGCGCCTCCTGCTCTGGTCTTAGCCCCCAGCCCCGCCTTACACTTTCCACTCCAACGGCACCCAGTCGCTGGTGGCCCACCCGCCCCGGCATCTCTATCCCAGGTGGTCCAGCCCTTCCTTTCCCCTCCTGCGTTCTTGCTCCCCGAGCGCTGCCCCCACCCCCACCCCAGTGCTCATCCTCCATCCCTCTCCGTGTTACCTGCCCTGCCCCGCAGTACTTGCTGGTGGTCCACAGTGCTCTGTACCCAAACCACCCTGGACAAGGATGAGTTTAGGGAAACAGGCCGCCCCATTGCAGCATGAGACTTTCTCAGGGCACAGAAGTTCTTGGCACTCAACAAAGGCTCAAAGATTGTGAAGTGAACAGAGTCAAACTGAGCCCACAAGATGTGCAGCCCCGGATTAGGCTGGGGGGATGAGATGTGTATACATAAAACAATGACTCTGGTCTTTAGCTGGGGCTGGGGACCAGCTCTGAGATCAAAGGAGACAGAGCTCATCTGCACAGGGGTGACCCCAGGGGGCTTCACGGAGGGCAGAGCAGTGGGTCCCAGTGGATACTGTGGGGAACAGTCTGAATTGTTTCTCCACTTTCAGGGAAGAATTTTGAGCACATTTCACAGATGAGATGCTTCAGGCTCAGAAGAGGAGGTCATGCGGTTCTTGGGGTACATGGTGAACTTGCCCCTGTTCTGAGAGGCTGTCCAAGGATAGGCCTCTCAGCAGCCCTGGCCCAGCTGTTGCCCCCACAGGCATCCACACTGGCCAAACCACCCAGTCCAACATTTGCCTCCCGACACGGGCCCTGTTGGGGAAATGTAATTAAAAACAAAATCTCCCCAAAAGCCTGTCCGTAAAGGTAGAAAAGGAAGAAAACTGTTGTATTATTGAATAAATAAGCATTAAGCCTGAATGTGATGTCCATCACAGGCCATCCGCTAAAGAGATTTCAAAGACGAGGAAATCTCAGCCTTTTTATCTAGACAGGCAGATGCAACATATGTGTTCTTAAGAGAAATTGCTGATTTTCTTGTATCTTTGTGCTTCGAGATCGGTTTTGCAATTCAAAGTAAGGTGACAGCTGGAGCTAAGCCAGTCCTCTCCTTGCAGGAAACCAGGAGGTGGAGAGATACCTTCCTTGATGATTCCTTTTTCAAAGAGGTGGCTCCCAACTCCTGGAGGAAACGTTCCTGAGTTTTCAGCCTGGCAAGCAGCTTGTTTAGCCATTAAAAGATGTGCGTACATGTAATAAGAACAAAGAAAGGGGCGCCTGGGTGGCTCAGGTCATGATCCTGGAGTCCCGGGATCCAACCACGCATTGAGTCCCTCACGGAGCCCCACATCGGGCTCCCTGCTCAGCGGGGAATCTGCTTTTACCTCTCTTGCTCCCCCTGCTTGTGGTCTCTCTCTCTGTCAAATAAGTAAATAAAATCTTAGAAAAAGAAGAAGAACCAAGAAAGAAATTCTAGAAGAAAAAGGAGGGATGGCGGAGTGCCTGGGTGGCTCAGTTGTTGGATGTCTGCCTTCGGCTCAGGTCATGGTCCCGGGGTGCTGGAATCGAGGCCTGCGTTGGGCTCTCTGCTCAGCGGGAAGCCTGCTTCTCCCTCTCCCGCTCCCCCTGCTTGTGTTCCCTCTCTCACTGTGTCTCTCTCTGTCAAAAAAATAAAAATCTTAAAAAAAAAAAAAAAAAGAAAGAAAAAGGAGGGATGGGAAGTCTCTTCCCTTATTTTCAACCGGGAAAATTAAGTCTCTTATTTTTTTTAATATAAACTTTATTTTCTAGAGCAATTTTAGGTTCATAGCAAGATTGAGCTCCAAGTACAGAAAGTTCCCATATACCCCCTGCCCTCCCCAGCCTCCCCATCATCAGCACCCCCTACCAGGGTGTTATATTTGTTACAACTATGAATAAACACTGACACATCATTATCAACTGAAGTCCATAGTTTAATTTGTATTTGCCCTTACAGCACCAGGGCCAGAGCCCACAGACAATGCACCTAGGTGATGTGGGGGAGATTCAAAACACAAGCAGCAATTTCAGGCGTTTTCTGCAGAGTATACATGAAAAACAACAAGCCACAGCCTCACTAAAAGAATTGGTAAAAATGAACAGGTGGATCAGATTTCTTCAACTTTAACCTCCATTCCCCTATCCCAGCACCATGTCTCAGTTCTCACCCAGGATTTTCATTATAAGGAGGTCAGGCCTGCCATGGCTCATATGATGTATTTGTGCCCAAGAAGAATCCCTGCCCCAAATAGCTATCTACACATGCAAACTCCAGGCTGGCAAACCTCACCACTGCAGAGCCTGGTCTTTGAGTGAGTCATCTTTAATAGTGCACTGTTAAAAGGAACCTTGAAATAGGTGAGATCTTAAGCCACATATGACTGTGGGTTGGTGACAAAATGCTAGGAGAATGGCTCAAAATAAAACGATGACAGTAGAAGGAGCAGGGCTAAGGATGCCGTCTTGATTTTAAGAAAATCTCAACAATGTGCAAACTTAAAAGCTTCGAGTAGCTGCTCAGTGTGGGAAAGCTGCAAGGCATGTGCCGATCCAGTGTCCACCTGCCCGCTTCCATCCTCCTGCCTTGGGTTTTTGTCGAAACTCTTCCCTTTTGCGGTAAGTTTGAGCATAGAGAAGTCTGGAGAGTAATAGAAGGAATAATAACACACCCATTACCCAGCTTTGTTAAATCTTAACATTTTGCCATTTTTATGTCAGGTCGACTTTTTTTTCTTTAAAGAAAGAAGTCATCAGGGGCCCCTGGGTGGCGCAGTCGGGTAAGAATCTGAGTCTTGGTTTAGGCTCAGGTCTTCATCTCAAGGTTGTAGGATCCTGCCGGGCTCCGAGCTTAGTGAGGAGTCTGTTAAAGTTTCTCTCTCCCTCTCCCTCTGCCCCTCCCCGCTCTCTCTCTCTCTCTCTCAAATAAATAAATACAGAGGCACCTGGGTGGCTCAGTCGTTAAGCGTCTGCCTTTGGCTCAGGTCATGAAGCCGGGGTCCTGGGATCGAGCCCCACATCGGGCTCCCTGCTCGGCGTGAAGCCTGCTTCTCCCTCTCCCACTCCCCCTGCTTGTGTTCCCTCTCTCACTGTCTCTCTCTCTCTCTCTCTCTCTGTCAAATAAATAAATAAAATCTTTAAAAATAAATAAATAAAATAAATAAATACAACTTAAAAAAAAGTCATCAAAAGGCTTCCTTCTCCAGAAATACCCACTATCCTGATTTTTATGTTTATTATTTCTTTGAATGTTTTCATACCTTTACTATTTGTGTAGCTGGAAATAAGGTACATTTTACAGTAGGCTAACACTGTACAGGCATCCTTCTGCAATTTGTTATCTTCTTGTTTGTGACCCCAGTTTCTGAAATAGTGAATGGATAACTCTTGGTAAGTTCCTCAGAGAACCAAGTAAACTCTTCCATCTATTTATCTAGTACATTGCATGCTAGGAAAATTCAGTGTCTATTAAAAACAAGAAAGAATACAATGTGTTTGGGATGAAATTGTGGGACCGTGCCTTATGGCTTGTTGCAAGATATCAAGTATCCCGGGGTCCCATCCACTAAAGGCCTGTCCCTCCTCTATCATTCTGACAAATGGAAATACCCTCAAGATGTCCAAATGCCTTCAGGGGCCAATCCCACCACGTTTGGGAGCCATACCTCTGTGTGAAATTGCTGGGTGAAGCATGAGCTCACCTCAACTCCACTGGATGCAGCCAAGGCTGCATGAATGCATGAGTGAATGAGGGCAAGCACACCAATGGTGCACGGTTAGCCATCGGAATGTTTGCCTGGGCCTGGGTTAGTGTGTGCCCAGAAAGTGCACTGGGCAGTTTGGGGACAGCCTCGGTCCTCTGGACACAACGACCTCTGGTGGACAGGGAGGGAGGGAGCTCCTTTAGCCAGAATCTGCGCCCTTCTAAGGGCGGGGGGGGGGGGGAGGGAAGGACTGTCTGTGGATCAGCGGGGTCCTGAACCTCCTCGGGAGAAGGAGTGAAATCTTCCTGGGGTTTGCTCAGTGCCAAGCCCCACCGCCTGGGGTTCCGGCTGCTCCCTGTTTCAGGTCTACTTCTAGGAGACAGAACACATCTCCCTCCCAGAAGAGGGGCCAGAGGTCTCCAGTGGAGGGGGCGCGTATCGGATTAGGGTAGGGAAGGAAAAGGTGGGAGTGCCAAAGCTGAACGTTTGGGTTCTGGGAGACGTCCCCTTGGCCCCATCTCCCACCCGAGAATAAGCGGGCTTGGGGACGTGCGAGGCGCCGAAGCCTGACCCCTAGTGGTGGTTACAGTAACTACATCCCCAATTGCTGGGGGCGGGGCAGCGGTGTGGGGGGCGGGGCTTGGAATTACAATTCGTTCAACCGCAGGGACAGTAATTTCACAGTGTTTATACAGCCAGGGACCAACTAACACAACATATATTATGCCACTTAATTCCTTCAGCAATCTTCAGAGGCAGGTGTTATTAACACTCCCACTTTGTAGAAAGGAAAAGTGAGACACAGGGTAAGTAACTGGCCCGAGGCCACAGAGCCAGTAAACAGTGGAGCTCCGATTTGAATGCGAAATCCGTGCCCTTACCCTCAAAGAGATTACAGTTCGTACATTCTCCCAGCATTCTGCTGTTTTCCCGTATAGCTCGTCTGTTCCTGTCCTTGTTTCAGACCTTCCTCCTCCAGCTCCCCTCCTTCACCCCAGTCTTCAGCATTTCCTCATCTCATGACTCAAAGGCTGAAGATATGCCCACGTCGAGAAATCCATCCAAGCAGTAAACAGAGAGCAAATAAAGAATTATGAAAACACATTTAAGTGACATGAATGGAAGGCTGATAATTCCAACATATACTAAAGGACATTCCAGAAAAGCACCAGCAAGAGCGGCAGAGGGGCACCCAGCTCAGTTGGTTAAGCATCTGCCTTCGGCTCGGGTCATGATCTCAGGGTTCTGGGCTCGAGTCTCGCATCGGGCTCCCTGCTCAGCGGGGAGCCTGCTTCTCCCTCTCCCTCTGCCCCTCCCCCTGCTCGTTCTCTCTCGCACGTGCTCTCTCTCTCTCTCTCAATAAATAAAAATCTTTAAATTGGTTTCGGCTCAGGTCAAGATCTCAGAGTGATGTGATCGAGCTCCGTGTCTGGCTCCCTGCTCAGCGGGGAGTCTGCTTGGGATTCTCTCTCTCCCTCTGCCCCTGCCCCCACCCCTCTCTCAAACAAATAAATAAGTCTTTAGAAAACAAAAGAGCAGTAGTGAAGCCCTATTTGAGGAGGTAGTGCCTCAGAACTTTCAAGCATTGAAGGAGATCCTGAACTCTGAGAGTGCACTCTGAATACTGAGTACTGAGCAAGATAAATAAAAATAACTAGCACATCTAGACACACTGTGGTGGAGCTCCAGAACAGCAGTTAAAGGGCAGATCTTTGAAGATACCAAAGAGAAGAGCTGCGTCATCCTCCCCTGTCCCCCAGAGCAGGGCCCTTAGGTGTCCTCTGAGATTCCACAAGCCCCAGCCTGCAGGAAGGATGGCCCCACCGAGCCACACCGCCCTTGGATTGCCTCCTGGCCCTGAGCCTCAATCCCCTAATCTGGGAAAGGGGCAAGTAAAGTCTCTCCTCCACAGAACTACAGCAAGTAAGAGTGAGCAGTGTGTTGGGGGGGGGGCATGGCACCGATTTGTTTCTTTACTTTTTCTTTTGATATTTAATACCTTCTCATTGTTTATTAATGACCACTCGTGACATACCTACATCCCTCTACGGTTCTGTAGTTACTCCATTTTACAGATGAGTAAGTTGAGTCCCAGACCCAGACCCAGGCAAACATTTTTTTTAGGGCCCCTGTCTATATATAATTTGCGACACCTGAAATCAGCACCATGGCACCAATCTTGGGTGGCCCAGGCACAGGTCAGTGGAGGTTTGACTCCTCCTCAGCCCGTGTGCTTCCTCACACATGCCTGCTCGCTCGCTCTCCTCCATCATAACTGCGGGAGTGCGTGTCCTGACTTGTCTCCACCCCCTGCCCTCCCAGGGCCAGTGGACTCATTCCTTCAGTATTTCCAACCTAACACCTGAACAAAGGGACCCAGTCCAGTTCGCGTGGGGCCAAGTGGGGTCCCAACCCACTCCAGCAGGTCACAGGGCACAAACCACAAACATGGGTATGGGCTAGGGGCGGGGTGCTGGGGGGGGTGTGAAGGGCAATGGGGGGCAGAGGCCTGCGTCCTGGCTTCAGGCCCATGCTCCTTTCACCTGGTGTGAGTCTTGATGGCAGCAGAGAACTGGGGAGGGCGAGCCTGTCAGGTCAGTTGGGGGCAGAGGCAGAACAGGAAGAAGGAGGGTAGGTTATGGGGCACAGTCGGCTAATACTAGCGGGGGTCACGATTTCCGTAGCAGCATCACAGGATGAAAAGTTTGTGGAGTTCACATTTGGAGAGGGGTCTTGCTTTTGGAGCAAAACTATCTGCAGCAGGAGCTCCACCCCAGTGTGGGGAAAAGCTCTCCGCCCAGCGGGCAGAGGGCAGGCCTCAGGACCCCACCTACTGGCAGGAGCAGCGGAGGGAGGGTCAGGAACTGTGGAAGAAGAAATCAGCACAGAGATTTGTGCCTTTCTAAGACTCTAGGGGGCGACAGCGCAAACCTGGCTGGTGGACCTTGGCTCCCGCCAGCTCTCAAGCACCCCCGAAGTTACCAGGCCCCGTCAAGCATCTGACTCACTGACACAGCACTTAAAATCCAGGTATAATTTGGGGTTCAATCACATTAGCAAGTGGCTGCACCTGCTACCTGTTAAAGAAAAATTGTGGGGGGGGAGAAACGTCTTAACATTGAAAAAACATATTTTTGGCTTAAAATTGGGAAATTTAAATTCTTGCAGCAGAACATCTTAATCCAACTCAAGAAACATGCATAATTGGGAACAACCAATTCGGTTCAAATGCTTCTTCATTTTGCAGATGGGCAAAAAAGAGGTGAATCCAGGAATGTAGACTATCCCCCTGGTGGCAGAGCGAGGGTGAGAACGCGGGTCTCCGTCCTCAGGCAAGCAGTGCGAGATCTCTATTCCAGGGGCTGCCGAGGGGGGCTATAACCGAGCCAGTGTGGCCTCTGGTCCAAGGGCATTGGCATCATTTTGCACTTGTCAGAAATGCAAATTTTAGAGCTCTACCCCAGACGGACAGAATCTGAATGTGCACTAAGTGCCCCCCACCCCGCCCGCTTGGACGGCCGTCCATAGGTTCATGCATGGGTATACATATTATGCATTCGTGTGTATGGGAATCATCTGGGGGTCGCGGTCAACTCTTAGAAAATGGGTTCTAGGCTTGGGTCTCAGGAATATGCTAGGAGACCCTTGTCAGGAGCGGTACACTGAATGTATGTGCCCCCTCAAATCATATGCCGACAGCTGATCTGCAAGGTGCTGGTGTTGGGAGGTGCTTAGCTCATGAGGGTGGAGCTGTGATGAATGGGACCAGAGTGCCCCCAGGAAAGAGCTCCCTGGCTCTTCCACCATGAGAGGACGAAGAAAGAAGACAGCTGTCTACGGACCAGGAAGCGCCTCTGACCAGACACCAAATCTGCGTGCACCTTGATCTTGGACGTCCAGCCTTCGGACAATGAGAAATAACACCTTGCTCCAATCTCACTAGGCTGTGGCGTTCTGTCATGGTGGCCCCAATGGACTAGACAGCAGGTCACAACTCCGACCTTTAGTTTCCTCCTTTGTCAACAAGAGAGTTCTGGCCACGTGTCATTTGGGACGGCCAACTCGCTCAGGTTTGCCTGAAGTCCCACGTTGCAAGTTGTGCTCGAGTTTCCTTGGGCAGCCCCGGCAGAGAGCCACAGTCTGGGGGGTCCTCTCCCAGTCCTGGAGGCCAGAAGTCCAAAATCCAGATGTGGACAGCCTTGGTTCCTTTTTGGAGGCTTGGAGGGAGAGTCTGTTGCCCGTTTCTGCATTCTGGCTGTCTTTGCCCCCTGCCCACTCTGCCTCCATCACCGTATGGCCTCCTTCCCTGCGCGTCCTGGCTCTCTGGATCCAAATTTCTTCTTAGAAGGATGTCAGCCACTGGACTGGGACCCACCTTGGTCCGGTATGACCTCACTTAACCTGATGACATCTGCAAAGACCTTATTTCCAAGTAAGGCCATGTTCACAGGTACCCGGGATTAGGACTTCAATATAGCTTTTTGGAGGACACAGTTCAACCTACAGCGGCCCCCTAGTCCCCGGCAGAGTGGGCGTTGGTCACACCCCCCCCCCACTCTGAGATCCTGCAGGCACGGGACTCCTGCCTGTCCCCCTTTATGTAGGTATCACGGCCTAAGCCAGCGGTTCTCAGAACATGGGTCCTGAACCACCACCAGCAGCCCTGGGTACTCAGTAGCAGTGAGGATGTCTCGGGCTCCAGCTTGGACCCCCAGAATCAGAAGCTCTGGGCTGAGGCCCCCGTATGTTTTAGCCAGCCCTTCAGGTGACTCCGAGGCAGGCCCGCGTTCGAGAACCACCCACCCGAGCTGGAGCTGCCCTCCCCAGGCTTCGCAGGGGAGCCAGCTGTGGACTTCAAACTCTTCCGAACACTTTACAACCTCCCATAATGCCCCAGTTACAGGCACAGAAAGGGTTGTGCCTCGGAATGATTTCAGTTATGGGATCCTAAAAATCGGCACGTCAGAGCTGAGGAATGTAAGCTTTCCGGCTGCTCCAGCTGTCACGGCCAGGCTAGCCCTCTGCGTCAGCCTTTTAGGGTAAAGTTCAGGACAGCACAACCCCACAGCCGTGCCACATACTAAAGCCAGGGATTACGGTGTTGATTTACTTGGCTTCTTGGCTAATCTACAGTGATAGGGGCTGGAAGAGGGAATAAAAGGG